ATATTATATATATATATGGCTAGGTTGACTCACGCATGTGCAATACATATGAAGCTCTTGCTGGTGCTAATCGCATGTGTGTGTTTCCATCTGTCATTGTTGATCGTGAATTTAGTTGACACTTCTATTATAGAGAAAGGGCGAATAGCGATATTAAAATATTTCTTCTAATTAATTTCCTTTCAATGTGCACGAATTTGTGCATCGGGCCGCTAGTAGCATACTAAATTGCATATCTTTAGCTTTATGTTTTCTCCCTTCCGCTGCATCACTTGGATCTGGACCTGCCAGTGTGTGACCTCATTCTTTTATTGCCACAGGTTCATTGTACAGGGCGTCCCTCCATAAGGGACATCTGGGCCTCTCCAGGTTTTGCTCTCTCAGTGCTGCTGTGAGCATCCTTGTGCGTTTCCTGTTGCTTACCAATCCCTGTAGTTGCCTAGGATACATCCCTCCAGGATGTGCTAGGTCAGAAGATCTGAGCTCTCCATTTAAAGAGAAATCGCCACCTTGACTTTTTTCATGGATATGGTCCCATTTCTCCTCTAGCCAGGAGCATCCTGTGGCCAGAGATATGGTTGACATCAGTGACCTAGCTTCCTTCTTTGCATTCTTTCTAACTTGAGATTTGCATTCTCCTGCTTAAATAAACCACACCTAGCCACTTAGATGTTTATAGAACAAAGAAGTAAAAGTTTGGCTTTGTACCTCCCTTCCTCTTTTTCCAGCATCCTTCTCTTCTCCCCTCCAGGCACCTGTGCTTAGCAATTTGGGTTACATCCTTCTAGAACAGTGGTTCTCAACCTTCCTAATGCCACGACCCTTTAATACAGTTCCTCATGTTGTGGTGACCCCCCAACCATAAAATTATTTTTGTTGCTACTTCATAACTGTAATTTTGCTACTGTTACGGATCGAGATTCCAACAGCGGGCTGGGCCATCTTTCCTTGGAATCAGGGAATTTTAACCTCTTGTTGGAAAACCAAGAGCAATCCCCTTAGGGCAGTGGTTCTCAACCTTCCTAATGCCGCGACCCTTTAATACAGTTCCTCATGTTGTGGTGACCCCCCAACCATAAAATTATTTTCGTTGCTACTTCATAACTGTAATTTTGCTACTGTTACGAATTGTAATGTAAATATCTGATATGCAGGATGTATTTTCATTGTTACAAATTGAACATAATTAAAGCATAGTGATTAATCACGAAAACAATATGTAATTATATATGTGTTTTCCGATGGTCTTAGGCGACCCCTGTGAAAGGGTCGTTCGACCACCAGAGGGGTCGAAACTCACAGGTTGAGAACCGCTGTTCTAGAACTGCAGTCGATGTGGTAAGCACTAGTTATATGTGGCTATTTAAATTGAGGGAATAACATTTAAATTTTACATTTTGAGTACTCGATAGTCTCATGTGGCTAAGTGGCTGCTCTCTGACAAGGCAGACATAGAACATTTCCATTATTGCAGACATGCGTGGAGGATGCTGCTCTGGACCAGGGTCTCAAATCGGGGTGAT